TGATAGATGGTAAGCGTAAAGAGAAACAAATGGCTGCCAGGACTAAGGAAATATTCTCCAACCCATGAAGCATCACGTATTCCAGCACCAATAAGAAGATTCATTTGGTTATTTCATTTGAAGTTCAGGTCTTGAGGGGAAAAAAAGTAAAACTTCGACTTATTCCTTTTTATGAGAATATAATTGCACACGTTAGTATCTTTCAAACAAATCAGAAAGAATTAAATGCATCTAGGTGTACCATAATGGGCAACGGTTTCCACCTAAAATGATAATGAATCATTTAAGTGTTTGAATTAGTAATACGGAGCTTATGATCATGTCTGCCCCTTATGGTTATACAGCTTGTATCCATATAATTCCTTGTATGACATGTAGGGTGTGCTTTATTCGGCCTTGAGCTTTCACAAAACATTACGTGAAGATGTCCATGTTGTTGGAAATGTGAGGCAATAGAGGAGCTACAAGGAAAAAAAACAACAAAAGAAAAAGACAGAATTCCTTCTGTGCAGAGTGACATTACATACCTTCAATGTTTTATTATGATTCGTGGCTGCTTTCATTTAAGTGACTGCATTGTGCTTGTTGTTACAAAATAAATGGGAAGATAAGTTTAGCCGAAGAGAATTAATTTCTTCCCACATCTTTTAATGTGGCATGGCAGTCTTCCCTCTAAGGTGAAAACACATAACTGAAGGTTATGTTTAATTTCTAAATCAAAGTGTTGTGGGAAGATGATTGAAATCTGAAGAGGACTCAGGTTCACTTGATAGGTGGTTTCCTTCCTACAGAAACCTGGTGGTGAGTGCCATCTCCACGTTACAAAGCACCTGATGGTGAGGAGCTTAAAATGAGTAGTGGTGGTAGCTGCCGAACGAACGTGTGCTCGTCACTTCCGATCTTTGCCTGGAAGTTTTTTAAGAACCTCGAGAACAATAACAGCAGCATCTCCCCCACTCCCTCCTCTTCCAAAATAGACCGTTATTTTTCTTTTTAGCAGCGGAGACAAAAGAAATCCATGTGTTTTATCAACAAGCATAGATTTCTTTGGCAGGTTTTATGACTGTTTTTTACCCAAAATAATGTGTCTGTTTTGGCTGTTTACTGCTTGTGTGGATTTAATTCATTTGTCTCACAGAGTGAATTAAGATTATATGACTGCTTAGTCTATGCAAAAAGAATGTTTTCTAAGACATGGCATGTTTTAAATGCTACTTTACCAAAGTGCCGTGTGTGTGTGTGTGTGTGTGTGTGTGTGTGTGTGTGTCTGTCTGTCTGTCTGTCTTTCAGGTAATCATACACAATGCCAAACGTAGAGCCGAAAGGGATTTTTCTCAGATGTTTTAAAAATAGAAATTAAAAATTACATCCCCACGTCTGGATTTTTCGCACTGTCCCTTATCTGAACCTCTCAAAGGCCTCTCTCTGTGGGGTTTAGCAGCACAGCACACTCAGACAGTTCTGCTCAGAGGAGGAAGTGGAGAGTTTTGGTTCCCATTTTACACTTCTGGAACAGTTTAGGGAAGGAAGCACCTTTACACCTTTTATTGTTCGTGGTTGCTGACATCATATCCTTCCCTGACCAGGCTGTGCGTGCTTCCTGCCATTCTGTCAAGATTCGTCTGTGTCGCTGGGAGGGATTTGTAGGCGGGCTGGCGGGAGGGAAGGAGGGAGGGAAGAGAACAAGAAGGAGAGAAGGGGGAGGGGGAGGGCGGTGTGTGTCACTCAAGGGAATTTGTTTGTTAATGAGGGAGCCTGGTGGGAGAATGATCTTTAGCAACTGTCCAGAAGAAATCCTTCTCCACTTGGGTCTCAAACTATTTTGCCTTCGTCTGCCTGCTATGCCAAAGTAAAGTGAACAGAAGCCTGCCATAATGAAGTTCCCCTTTTTAGTAAGCAGCCTGATTTTATTTTTCTTATATTTAGGTTGGCAAGAAAAAAAAACAGGGAGGGAAAAAATTGCAGAAGACTGTAACTCTATAAAGTGTAACTATGGTAGAGCGTTTCTTCTTTTTTAATTACTGATTGTTTATACTTAACTCTGTCATTTTCCAAGAATGCTTCTTTCATGTGGAAAGAAGTAGCGGCAAGGCTGCCGGAATTATTTTAAGCTTATGGTTGATTGTTCATAATGAAAGTTCTTCGCTTTACTTGAAATTCTACTACATGTAGTTTAGCTATTATAGTCTTTTCTTTCCATATACATACAAAGCAGTTCTATAGATTACTAAAGTTGCTTCTCTATCGTCCTACAAATGAATACTTGAAACCTACCTGGCAGTGTTGTTGTTGTTGTTATTATTATTATTATTATTATTATTATTATTATTTGCCCTATAAATCAGGGTCGAGAAATAATTGAGTTAGAAAAGCAACTGGCAGGCTACTGCTGGTCTCCCTAATTCTTTCACCGACTGCTGACAGCTGGGAACGTAACCCCGACTCAGATGCTGTAAGCCAAGTCTCGGGACATGTTTTTCTCCGTGAAGTTAGGTAGCCGCCCGCTCGCCCCATAGCATTCTGCATGTAGGTGCTCAATGGTATCCAAGTGTCCACTTTGGAAGGGCCAATACTTTTGCAAAAGAAATACTCATTTATACAAGAAACAAAGGAAAATGCTTGAATATATGGAGATTTAAGCCTGTGTCTCTTTTTGTCATTGCGTGTATGCATTTTCTCCTTTCTGGCAAGATATTTCCCATCATCATTTAAGAATAAAAAGAAAAGAAATTATTGCTGCCATCTTTTTTGAAAAATGGGGTCTCGTGTTTCCGAATTGTACGGACGCACTCTGCTCAGTTTTGCTCATCAGCAAGACTGTCTTTCTGAGGAGACTTTTCTCCCAGGGATTTCTCGGCTTATGTGGTTGTTTGTGTTGTGAAAGGCTGGCAGCTGTAGAAGTTCTCTTCCCTGCCTCGTCACCTTGCTCTAATCTCTTCTCCCAGTCCTCTAAGCCAATAGTGCCACTGGCCCCAGCTCAGTGAAAGCAAGGAAATCGTCCGTGTGCATTCACTGTGGGTTCATGCATTGGCTTCTCTGTGACAGAGAAAGCCTGTGGTCTCTTTGGGGTCTTGCACATGCATGGGAAATACCATTCTAACAAGCTGCTTGCTTCTAAGGTAAGACTATAAGACACACAGGAAAGTTGCCTAGAGAAGTGCTATTTAAGAATTTTTCTAAAAATGGGTGGACAGTGTTTGGCAACACTAAATACATATATTTATTTATATATATCTATATTGATATATCTGTATACCTACATATAGGCACATAGATCTTCATAAATATGATGCAAATGTGCTTGTGGAGTTTTCCTATTTTAATGTGATTTTAATATATCATAGTAAGAACTATACAACACTCATAGCTCAATTTTTCATATGTGTTTGCCAAGTATGCATGATTTATATAACTCTTTTAAACTTTTGGACTGCCTCCAACTTTTAAAAATACAGCTGGAGTAATAGTTTTTGATGAGTACTATGTGGTCATGATGTTACTCAACATATATATTCTCAAATGCAAAAGGGAGCTACGGTTTACTAGAAAGGTATTTGGCAAAAGAGAATGGATAGTCCTTTGTATTTAAGCAGTGCTAATCCACCAGAACTAATTATATCATAATAACCTCTGCAATTAGATAATCATGGAAAACTTAAATTTCACACACACAAAAATATTACTCAAGGTGATAAAGAACTCAGCAATTAAATTAAAGAGATCAAAGAACAGCTGATGATCAGACCAAGTGTGTAACAACTTTCCTGTTCCAGTGACTTTGAATTGGAGCCAAACAATCTATTAAATAGCCGCGACATTGGCTTAATGTTACATAATACATGTGGGAATTTATCAGGTTGGTTGTCAGACACCAACTAACATAAACAGGGAAATTCTGAACAATGTGTAAAGTGGTTGCATTCCCTGACATAAGCCTGGGGAGAATACTTGAAGCTGTTGCCTGCAAATGAAGAGGCCATGGAGGAATGCTTTCTTGTTAGCGACCAAGTTTCATAGCAATTCCTTCCTATTCATGTTCAAATATTTTCCGCTAGAACTTACAATATATGCTTTTGATAATTCTGGGATCCTTGGGTCTATCTTATAGAATTGATAATCATTTCTTTAATTTTAATTCCTCACCTAAAGTTCTCCAGTATATATATAAAAGCAAGGTTCTATAAGATATATTGTTAAATATTTAAGTTAAGAAGACTGAAGTTTTATTTTTTTAAGGAATGTTAATGGATCAATACCCAAATTAATACTCTAATAATCCACTCATTTTCTGTCAATGATTATCTCTTCCAAATTTTATGTTCAAGATAGAATGTAAGGAGTTTCTAAAGAAATGCTCTCGCTGCTGATAGATAGATGCTTATTATGTAAGGTGGAATACACTGTTATTTTTGCAGTGTTCTCATAGCGGTGATTTTTAAAAAAATAATAAGATTAGAGAATTTAGATTTAAATTAGTTGACATTTCCATACATCAACTAACACTTTCATAATAGTCCATCCTATTTGCATAACGAGGGACGTTATCACCTCTGCTGTCAAAACGCAAGATTGTTTTCCCTTCAGAAATGAATTAGCTGCCCTACTTAGCGTACACAGGTACATAAAGGTTCATTAACTCTCTGATTTGGGTAATTTTTCATAACAGAAGGGTGAAAATCGTCACCTAATTTGCTTTTAAAATATCAAGAAATTCTAAAAGATGCATTTCAAGTGTTGGGCTTTAATTTAAAGCCTAGTTTTCATCATTTAAATGACTTGTTAAGTTACTTATGAGATTAATTGTAAAAAAAAAAAAGTTCCTATTTGAAATGTCCCTGCATGTGATATGCCATGTACTTTTAATAAATACTTACTTGTATTCTTTTTATTGTTTTACTTCCACAGGGTTTATTTCCTTTTGTAAAATTAGAATGTGGTAGTTCTTAGGAAACTAGTTATCTCCTATCCTGATTAACTTTTGTTTGTTTGTATTTTGGCAGGATCGAATGCAGGAATTTGGGAGCTGAGTTGTGCAGGTGCTGAAGAAGGAGATTTGTTTGGAGGAAACCGGAAAGAGAAAGAAAAGGAAGGAAAAAATACATAATTTCAGGGACGAGAGAGAGAAGAAAAACGGGGACTATGGGGAGAAAAAAGATTCAGATTACAAGGATTATGGATGAACGTAACAGACAGGTAAGGCAAACGTTCCTTTGTACGATTATCCACATGGACTATTTACTGCATTTCCCCCAGATAGATTAAGGATACTGAGAACAGTTAGAATTACAAGTAGCTGTGGGATTGAAGAAAAGTTGTAGTGACTTAAATGTGGCCAGTTTAAGCACTAATGGTCTCACATGTACAGGGTGGTAGAATAGCTATACTGTGTAATATGTGTAGTTTAATAATTACTTTTTAAGCATAACATTGCTACATTGCATGCATCATCTAACAAAGGTATTCTTACATCCATGGGAACTAGACTTTCTGTGGTCATCCATTTAAAGGTTTGTAATATGTTACATATTCTGCATGAAAATAGTTTTCATGACTTCACAGTATAAGAGTTTTTGAAATACACCCAAAACATTTTGACTTTGTATGATGACAACTGCAGCAACAACAGCAAACCCCCACAATGCATTAGAAACTTAGTTTGGCAAGAACTGTTAGTGAATGCATGCCAATGCTTTCCCCCCTGAATTTTATAAATATAGATATGGGTGCCATTTCTTTTTCCTGCTAATACCTGCATGGTCCAATTAATCTATCTGAAAACTTTGTATCTCCAAACACTACTCAGCATTAAAGACTGCGATTTGGCTCTGTTTTTCTTCACACTTGAGGCAAGTGTATTTAATTAGGTCATGTAGGGAGAGCTGGGTGGTTTGTAAACATCCTAACGTTAAATATCAAATAATGGTCTTGGGAGAAATTATGGTGTGGTGGGTCTGGATTCTCAAATATTACATAGGGATATTGGAACCCCAGAGGAGACCTTCCTGAACATGAGAGAAGAGTGGTCTGCCCATTGCCCATTTACACTGGAGGCACTGCATCAGCTCATCATTTTCCCCAAGTGAAGGCATTGTATCTTCTTCTTACCCATTTTTCTTATCTTCTTGGGCTGCCATTAAGACTAAAACTAATCAGGTTGTTTTTTAAATTAAAGTTATTCTATGTGTAAATAATGTAGGAAAGAAATGCATAGTTATGCTGTCAATAGGCCATTAAGAAGTAAAGAAGCTTTTTATTTCTCAGTTTTCAAGTTTACATTCCTTTAAATTATTACTTTATTGTAAGACACCCATGACTTGATCTATTTTTAGCTGACAATTAAGCTAGAGTACAAAGAATATTTAGATGTATGATGGATTTCCTTAGTGTTGCCACAGGCATTGCTTATTGCTATTGCAATGGGTCAAATCAACAAGTGATAATTCTGTCAATAAAACCAGTCATTTTTAACTGAATTATAGATTTAAATTAAAAATGAGCTGGATGTAGTAAACATAATGTATCATTGACTATCGGGATCTTGTTGTTTGGACTACAACCTACTCTGGGTACAGTGAAAACTTATATGAATTAGCACTTAGCACTTCATTAATGAGGCTGGCTAATTTTTAGGTTCCTGAGCTTCATTGTATCTTCTTGTCACTTACAACGAGAGAAGAAACTTTTGTGAGTTGAATTCATGAGCTTTCTTTGTGCTTTATAGTCACAAGAATTTTAACACCCTACTTTTGTGCTAGTGAGGAGGCCTGGTGGCATAGTGGTTATGAGTTTGGTTGCTAACTGCAAGGTCAGCAGTTCAAAACCACTAGTTGCTCTGTGGGAGCAAGATGAAACTTTCTACTCCCAGAAAGAGACTTTGTCTGGGAAACCCACAAGGGCCATTCTAACCTGCCCTGTAGGGTTGTTGTGAGTCGTCATTGACTCGGTGGCCGTTTGGGGAAGCTTTCTGTTTGCTTGGGGTTTTTATTTAGCTGGCAATCGAACATCTTTTGACTTAAATGTGTTTGTTCTACAATTGCTGTAACATGTTGGAGATCATGAAAACCGTAAGAGAGAAAAAAAATTCAATGTAATATGATGATTGTATTGTTTTAAATACTGGATATGATTCTTTGATATTACTCTCTAAAACGTAGGACATACTTAGTCCTTACTCTACTCCTTCCCTAAGTATACTTGACCCTTTAATATCCAGTACACTTACATGGAATGAGAAAAATGAAAGCCTTCCTGTTTGGTGTATATCTGAGTGATGATTTCAGATGGCTGTTAAAAGAGTCATCTCATAGGAGTATGTTCTTCACGTTTTCTCTAACCTCCAACGAGTGGTCATAAGAGGCATTTTGGAATCTAAAAGATAGAGATGTGATTTTATCATCAAAATGAGCACCATTTCTTACTACATGGGGGTATCCCTTTAAACTCTTCAAGTTCACATATATCCCTCCATATGAATCTCTCCTCACTAGACACTTCAGTAGAACCTCAAGCAATTATTCATTGACATTTTTTCCCAGTAGTAAAAGACTGTCCTGCCATTACTGGTGTTTGTTTGCCTATATCCAAAACAATGTTAGTTTTTATTATGATAGATACAGATTTAAAGTGTGGAATATCAGAGAGCTCATGTAAAAAGTTGTTTCCAGCTGAGAAAACGAATTGTTGAAAACCAGTGATTGCATTGCAGTTTGCTTTCACTGTATTTTTTGTTGTGGAAGTGCAAAAGAGCTTAAACCCAGAGACTCATATAAGGTTATTTTGGAAAGAATATAATCTAATACATTTTTTACGTTCAAAAAAATTGGGGCAGTTAGTAGGTTCATAAATACTATTTCTCAATTACGAATGTAAAAAAAGATTAATTTCTTAAACTAATACCAAAAATAATTAATGAGTCATCAAGTTGTATTATAGAAAATTACAGGTAATTGATTAAAAGTAGTTACCATTTATTGAACACACATACCTATTACATGCCAAGAACTACATGTGTTATTCTACTTAGTTCTTATTAATCCCATTTAAAGACTGAATTATTTATTGGATCCCCCAATATTCTAGACTACGACTGCCTCATGTTAAATGTTCAATGCTTATAATCTGTTAAATGGGCCAGCAAACTTATTCTGTAAAAAATAAAATGGGAGTTATTTTCAGCCTTTTGAGCCATACAAACTCCATCACAACTATTTATCATTGTAATGTGAAAGCAGCCATGGACAGTACCTGAAGCAGTGTGGTTGTATTCCAATAAAACTTTATTGAAAAGAATGGACTGGGCTGGGTTTTCCCTATAAATCATAGTTATGAGCACTTGATTTATCTAGTGGGATAAAACAGACATGGAATATGTAAATGCCCACCAAAATTCGTTCTTATGTGATATATACAAAAATATCAAAGTACTATGAAAGGAAAAACAAGTAAACAAAACCCCACTGTCATCGAGTCTACATTGCCTCATGGTAGCCCAGTCGATCAGAGAAGAGAACTGCTCACAGCATTTTCTTGGCCGTAATCTTTATGGAAACAAACCAGCAGACCATTGTTCCATTTTCCTTCTGGGTATGTTGGTACTGCCAAGCCTCAGGTTGGGAGTAAGGATCAACCAGGAGTCCTGGTGGCTTATGAGTCTACATAATGAGCTTCTAATAACGTGTTCCATGTTTGAAACCCACCAGTGACTCTGCGGGATGACGCTGAGGTGTTTATTCCTGTGAAGATTTAAAGTCTCAGAAACTGTAAACCTGTCTTAGTGAGCAGGTCTACCCTATCTTTTAAGGTCACTGTGAGTCAGAATGGATTTGCTAGTGAGTCGTGGTTTAAGGGCAAACCAATCGGCAAACTGCCGATCTTGCAGCTAGCAATCTAGAGCTAGGTAGCCTATTTAATTTGAGGTCAGGAAAAGTGTCTTTTAAGCCCAGTGATAAGAGTTTAACCCGTTGGGTAGGTAACAACATCCGAGAAGGAATATTTGTAATGACCCCTCAGGAAGGAAATCACTTGGCTGAGCAGTTAAAGAAAAACCAGTAAAATCTGTAACTGGTGTCTGATCAGAGATTAGAGACTAGGCAGGTCCTCTTAAATTCTACGTAACTAGCCCAAAATTGTAAAATTTATCCTAAAATATGACCAAGATTTGAGTCCAAATCTTTCAGAAAATTAATGCTTTTCTGGTTCGTCATGTTGCATCCAGTGTAACAGAAAATCTAAAAGCATGGCTTCTAGAGTGATAGACGCCTTTTTTGGTCCCAGTTTTGCTAATTAACTGACTATCTGATCTCTAGCAAATTATTTAACTCCTTTGAGCCTCAGTTCCCTCGTGGGTAGAATTGAGAATTTAAAAATAGTACCTATTTCATTAGGTCATTGAGATAATTATATGGCAATAAATACAAAGTTCCTACCACCTAAGAAGTGCTCAATAATTTTACTTATTAGCTATTCCTAATCATGTTTCTTGAACTATTAGCTGTTAAACTTATTAAGATTTCCATTAAAGTAACTGCTGAATATATAAAACACACTGTCTGATGAATGGGGCCTGACCCTTCATTTCAAGAGCGTTTTACCTTGAAAGTGCACAGGAAGATGGATGGAGTGGAACAGAGGAATGCGGGAACACAAAGGATCTTTCAGAAGCCAGGAGCAGGGCTAGAGAAAAATGCCACCAGGTGAGCCTGCTGCTGACAGGATGGTTAGTGGACAGGAAGAACACATGGCACAGAACATTTACAGGCCAGAGCACATAACAAGGGTGGGGAGAAGGGATCTTCTAAATTCTATGGTTTGAGGACTTATTTTCAAATCTGTGTACTGACCAACTTATTTTGAACTAAGCACCATTATATCACATATGATTTCTCATTTAGTGTAACGCTACAATTTTAATCTATCTGTATTTTTTCATTTTTTTACCCCTTGAATGCCTTCACCAATTAAATAACTGTAATCTGACACTTTCATATAGTACATTTTTAAATTATGCTCATGAAACAGCCATATTGATAAATGAGTTCTGTTCTTAATGACTTTTTATAAACAATGTACTTAGAAATCTGCTGTTTCTGTTATTTCAATTAGAAAGTAGAAAAATTAAGCATAATTTGTCTACATGTTTTTAAATATTTCAACTTTTCTACTCTGAAAAGGATGAGAGATAAACTAAAAAAATC